AATATTCGAAAAATCAATAAAATTATGATAACGGAAGTAATCGTAATTAAGTTTGAAAAATAAAAAAAAAGGATTTAAGAAAGAAAAATAGCTGGATATGGGCATGAAATGACCCCTACATCAGTGTTTCTCAACCTCTTAAGGAACTGCACACTTGGCAAAATATTTAAACGGTATACATTTAAATGTTATGAAATAAAACCATAGATTTTAAAATATATATACATACAAATATGAACTTACTTTATTTCAACGTCTGTTCAACTATTTGTGCAACTTATTTATTGTGAAACCTGTGCCTGGTATTTTAGGGGTGGGGTGCGATTTTTTCAACATTTCGCGACAAACTTAAGAAGATCGGTCGGGATACTGGCGTGTTACGGCACGGCAGTTAAGAATCATGTCCATAGTGGTTGATATGCCCGCTAAAGAAAATCAACAACAACAGCAACATTCACGTTGCGCATGTCGACGCTTCAAGTGTGACCATTACCGTTATCGTGAACAGATGAGCTGCCATTAACAGTAGCCTTGTCTGAGTCTCCCGAACATGTTCGTCAACCTCTTGGTACCACCCGAAATCCGGATAATGAATTTATTTTGAGAAGGTTGTCATTGTATTTCTGTCGTCCAACACACTCTACCCTTCGAACCTTCATATTTCTTTCATCTTCATTTCGTTTTCTCTCTCATGGTTTTTTTTTTATTTTTATTTTATCTTATTTTTTTTATTTTTATTTTTGTTACCCTTGCTTCTCCAATTTCTCACCGTCCGTTTTTCATTGTCCATCTCCTTTCTCCTTTGCTGACATTAGCAGGCACTTCTCTTGCTGTGGGACGCGTTCGGCTGCAAATCCTTACCGCCGTCTTCTTCCCCGATCATCGTTCTGCCAGCCAACCCCATTACCATTTACAATTCTCGCTACCCCGCGGCCATTTCCTACCCACAGCTAACAAGATCAAAGAATTATGTACGCATAATCCGACAAACCCATACGGTAACGCGTCCAAGTCGCCATCTTGGCAAGACAGCTCCATCTAGCGGACTAATTCGGCGTGACAGAGACCCGACAATGCTTGCGAGAAGACTTTTCAACATCAAACGAGAAGCTTAGAATTCTTTGAACAGCCGTTACCTTTTGTTTCTATGTTCATAAAGAGTAGTGGGAATTTGGTTCGGGTGGTAAGTTCTGATGGTTTTGAACGGTAAGAGGCCAGAGAATAAAGATTTGTCATCATCTTTCTTTTCTTCCTCTTCCTCCTGCTTCTTCAGCCACGTTTTTACTTTCTACATTTTTCTGGATATTGTTTTTTTTTGTTCCTCTTCTGAACTATCGTTCCTCCATTTCTTTTACGCTTTTTATTTCAATATCGTTTTCTGTTTTTCTCTTTGCCTGTTACTCTCAATATTTCTTTCTTTCTTTTTCTTTCTTTTTTCTTTTTCTTTTCTTTCCTTTCCTTTCCTTTTCTTCCTTTCTTTCATTCTCTCTTTCTTTCTTAATCTAATTCTTACTTACCTGTTTTAGGCTTTTTTTTCTTTTTTCTTTCTTAAATACTTTTTTTTTTATTTTCAGTTTTTCGTTCTTAATTACGATTACTTCCTTTATCATAATTTTATTGATTTTTCGAATATTTAAATTCTTCAATGTCTTCCTTTACTTAAACTTCTTTTCATTCTTTCTTCCTTTCTTGATTCTTTCTTTCTTTCGTTGTCAATCGCACTTTTTATGTGTGTCTATATTTCCGAGATGAGGTATTGTAACTATTTACACTATTTACATTGTTCCGACTGTTACCCTCATCTTTTTTTTTTTGTTTGTTTTTTGCCACATTCACAACGTTTCGGCCCTTGTACGATCTGGCTTTCATCAGAATCTCTCTATATTTCCGAGATGAGGTATTGTAATTATTTACACTATTTACATTGTTCAGACTGTTGTCCTCATCTTTTTGCCACATTCACGACGTTTCGACCCTTTGTACGATCCAGCTTTCATCAGGATCTGTCTATATTTCTGAGATGAGGTATTGTAACTATTTACACTATTTACATTGTTCAGACTGTTGCCCTCATCTTTATTGCCACATTCACGACGTTTCGACCCTTGTACGATCCGGCTTTTATCAGGATCTGTCTATATTTCTGAGATGAGGTATTGTAACTATTTACACTATTTACATTGTTCCGACTGTTACCCTCATCATTTTTTTCTTTTTTTGCCACATTCACAACGTTTCGGCCCTTGTACGATCTGTCTTTCATCAGGATCTGTCTATATTTCTGAGATGAGGTACTGTAGGTATTTACATTGTTTTAACTGTTGTCCTCATCTTTTTTGCCACATTCACGACGTTTCGGCCCTTGTACGATCCGGCTTTCATCAGGATCTGTCTATATTTTTGAGATGAGGTATTGTAACTATTTACACTATTTACATTGTTCAGACTGTTGCCCTCATCTTTATTGCCACATTCACGACGTTTCGACCCTTGTACGATC